GATTCACATGGGTAAAATTTTTAAGAGGAAAATTTGATACGTTTGATGCTTTCAAGTACTTAGTCCTAAAAATCCAAAATGAATATGGTGTGTCTATTGGGCGTATCATAAGAATCTGAATAGATCATGGTTGTGAATTTGAGAATATGTCATTTTTGGATTTTTGTGATATGTATGGCATTAAACATGAATTTTCTGCACGTATTACCCCCCCACAGCAAACTGGAGTTATTGAGAGGAAAAATAGGGTTGTTCAAGAGAAAGCTAGGGTTATGCTTCTTAGTAAGAAAGTTCCTCTCAAGGTTTGGGCTGAAGCCTTAAATATTGTTGTTTATGTGGTGAATCGTGTGTATCTAAGGTTTGACACATTAGAAACTCCATATGAATTGTGGAAAGATTTGAAATCTAATGTAAAATACTTCAAAACTTTTGGAAGTAAGTGTTATATTTTCAAAGATAGAGAGCCTTTGGGAAAATTTGACTCCAGTAGTGATAAATACATTTTTCTAGGGTATTCAACCACAAGTAAAGTTTTTCGTGTCTATAATCTTCGTACTTTATCTATAATGGAATCTATCAATGTTGTTGCAGGTGACACAAGTTCTCCAATAGCATCTTTACATGAGGAAGAAGATAGTGATCCTCAAAATCTGGATGTGGCACCACAAAGTCAAGGAGAAGCTCAAAGCAAAGCTCAAAGGCGAACAAACACCAACTCCCATGGCAAGCCCTAGTCTAAAGAGTGCACAAAGAGACACCACCACCGCTACTCAGGTCACTAACAGCCCTATCTTGGAGCCATTGACAAGGGTGAAGCTGAATCAGCCGATATAACAAGTGATAGGGAGTGTCTCGGATTGAATGAAAACCCGAAAACAAATTTTGAAGGAGATATCTCATGTGTTATGTTTCTTTAATTGAACCTAAGAATGTAAAAGAGACCTTACTAGATGATAGTTTGGACTCTTGTTCCTAGACCTAGAGATATAAATGTGATAGGTACCAAGTGGATCTTTAAAAATAAATCCGAGGGGAATGGTACAGTTGTTAGAAACAAAGCTAGGTTGGTTGCTCAAGGTTACACACAAGTAGAGGGCGTTGACTATGATGAGATGTGTGTCCCTGTTACCCGTCTCGAATCTATTCGTATTTTACTTACTGTTGCATGTTTTCTTGGTTTTAAACTATTTTAGATGGATGTGAAGAGTGCATTTTTGAACAGGTACTTGAAGGAAGAAGCCTTGTTGAGCAACCAAAGGGTTTTGAGGAACCTAAGTTTTCAAATCATTTCTACAAATTAGACAAGGCATTGTATAGGTTGAAACATGCCCCTTAGGCTTGGTATGATAGGCTTACTATATTTCTTCTTGATAATGACTTTCAAAAGGGTAGTATGGATAAGACCTTATTTGTGAAACATACTATGTCACATATCCTCATTGCTCAAATTTATATTGACGATATTGTGTTTGGATCCACATCTGAATCTCTTGTGAAATATTTCTCGGATTGCATAACACATCTTTTTAGGGTTTCAAATTACGCAGCTACTGTCGGGTATTTGGTCGAGAGTCTGCCAAACATGTACGGACCCCTATGAGCATGAGTTTTCACCTGTCTAAAGACTCCTTTGGCACTGATATTGATCCTACTTTATATCGGAGTATGATAAGGAGTCTTTTGCACCTCACTATCAGTCGGCTCGACATTGCATTTATTATAGGTGTTTGTGCCCGTTATCAAGCTTCTCCTAAAGAGTCTCTCACCTTTAGCCATCAAACATATTACCAAGTATGTTAGTGTAACTCTGGGGATGGAATTTGATTCTCATCCAGCACCACGTCCGATATCACTTACTATTTTGATATTGGGCAGGGTGTGTTGATGATTGCAAAAGCACATTTGGAGGTTATTTTTACCTTGGGAATAATTTGGTTGCATGGCATAATAAAAATCAGAATTCCATATCTTTTTCGCCCGCTGAGGCTGAGTATATTACTACTGTGAGTTGTTGTGCTCAAATGATTTGGATGAAGCAAATGCTTCATGACTATGGTATAGACCAGGACTCACTTACTCTTTTTTGTGATAACACAAGTGCCATCAATATCTCCTAAAATCTAGTTCAACACCCTTGCACTAAACATATTGACATTTGTCACCATTTCATTTGAGAGTTAGTTGAGGAGGGCCGTGTTGTTTTTGAACATGTACACACTAAGCAACAAAGAGTTGACATTTTTACAAAATCCTTTGATCTTCTTAGGTTTGAGTTCCTTAGAAAGACCTCAGGAGTGTCTTGTTGCATGAGCGGATGTGAGCAATTGGCATTCTGTGTGTTTGGATGTTATAATCTCATTGTCATTGATACTTGTTATCTTTGCGCATAGATTTATTCGAACACCTCTCGTGCTGCATTCAACATTCATATGTATTTTTCCATGGCTCATTTTGAATGTACATTCTCATTGATTTGATGATTTCATTTTGTACACATCCTTGAGTTAAACTGTTGTAGGGGTTTCCGCATAAGTGATCAAATTTTTCTATGGACTACTAGCGTTGTGTTTGGTGCATTTTTAGAGGAGTTGACCTGTACCAGCACATCATGGGTGATGTTGAGTCTCTTAACCACCTACTATCATTTTGCATCTCCATGACTTTCCCTTCAATTCTTTGTAGTCAAGGCATGAGGAAAAGGCTACCTCAGAAGCATTAACTAGGCTATCCTTATTTTATCTATGTTTCTCTAGTTTGGTTTCTATACTCCTGAGCATGAAAGTCACCAATGAGTGCCCAAAAGAAAGAAAGCAAGAAAAATCAAAAATTTGATTCATTAATTGAGGGAGAACCTCCACATTTTGTTCAACAAATATCCCTTGATTCCTAGTGGTTTGATTTTCTCAGTTGTGTTTAGATTTTCTTGCCAGAGGTCCATCCATCCGATCACTACTAGGATTAACTCTAGTGATTGTGGACACTCAAGGATTGCGCACGCGCGCGTGCATACACACACAAACACACACACACACACAAACATACACACACACTGAATTCGTGAGCTATCATGTTCTTCTTCGAGATTTGCATTCATGTGCTGCCTATGTTTACTTATACATCTTTACTGTGCCTGTTACTGATATCAGGTTCATAATATCTATCTTGCAAGATTGAGGGTTTCATGATATGTGGAATATCTTATCTTAGTATCACATTGATGCATTATTACTAATATCTTTCAGTTTCAGGTGATACTCCATCTTATGAATGATTTCGGATACTCAGGAGTGCGTGTTTTCGGGCTAACAAGTTTTTCTTGACTCTGGATATTGCTCAAGCGGTAATCAATAACATTTGGTACTTTTGCAGAGGGTTGAAACTACTGAGAGCCTGGTTTGTGCGCTCAAGCGATGGAGTCTTGGCTCGAGCGATGGACTCCCATGTAAGAGGCTTTGCTCGAGCGACAATTTTGTAGCTCGAGCAGTCTATGCAGGTTTAAATAGTTCAAACCATCCTTAAAATTTAGTCTTCCCCCAAATCCCTTCGTGGTTCTTCTCTCTCCTTGAGCATACTATCTCCATTGTTGTGCTCGACCTATTATCCCTTGATTTGACTTGGTTTTGCCCCTCGTTGAGTGATCTTCATCACTATTTGGTAAGTCCCTTTCCTTTCTAGGCATTTTTTGTTCCTTTTTTTTTTTCTTTTCTCTCTTCATAGTTGGTGAGTGTTGATTGTCTATGGTTTCTCATGTCATTTGTTTGGTTAATGTTTTTTTTTGAGCAATTTTATACTAGTTTTCCATATTGTTTTGGTTTTTTTAGTTGTGTTGTGCAATTATTTCTAGGGTCTCAAGTTTTTTTAATTTTTTTTTTCTCAAGGTTTGAAGCTTTCTTTTGAATAATCTATGATAGTTGGTTAAGTTCATAATTGAGTAATTGAAACTCTCATATATATATATATATATATATATCATGCTGCATTCTAACTATTTTCTTGCTTACTAATAGAGGTTGTTCTTTATGGTTGAAATTGGGGTTGTTGGTTTATTGTGATTCGTATGGGAATTGTCTCTTGGTGGGCTGTCTGTGGGAGTTGTTGGTGGTCTTTCCTGTGTTGTCGGTGTTTAATTTTGGTCAAATCCTCCAAAAGGCAAAAGGTTACTGTTTCTCGACCCTCATATAACACTGAGAAATTCCAATCTAAAGAGAAATCCACTTTGTTTAGAGATTTCTACGAGTCTAGGCACTACAAGAATTAACACTTTTGGCAACAAAAAAATTAGTTGCTAAAAGTCAATTTTTGGTCGGCAAAAGTTATCCACGACCAATTTTTTTGGTCGCTACTTTGGTCGCCAATTGAGGGTCGGCAAAAGTAATTCGCGACCAAAATTGTGGTTGGTCGGCAAAAGTTGGATTTCGCGACTAAATTTTTGGTCGCTAAATATTTAATTACCGCGACTAATTTATTTTGTCGCCAAAACACTTTGGTCGCGAAAAGTGATATTTTCCCGACCAAAAAGTTTGGTCGCCAATTATCACATTCAACGACCAAAAATTTTGGTCGCTAATCGTGACATTCCGCGACCAAAAAATTTTGGTCGCCAATCGTGACATTCCGCGACCAAAAAGTTTGGTCGTCAATTGTGACATTCCACGACCAAAAAAGGTTTTGGTCGCCATTTGTTACTTTTCGCGACCAAAACTTTTGGTCGGCAAAAGTGAGTTTCCACGACCAAGAGCTGTTTTGGTCGGCAATAGATGTATTTTTTGCGAACCAAACTCTTGGTCGGCAATTGTCATTTTTTGCGAAAAAAATAATTTATTTGTCGCGACTAATAAATTGGTCGCCAAAGCAGGAAAACAATACACCTGTAATTCCTAATAATTCATTCAATCCATAATAAACCTATAATTTTAAAGCATCATTCAAATTAACTGCATCATTCAAATTCGACACAATACATAATTCATTAGCATTCGACACAATACAACTATTCTAAGTTTTCATTCACAAGTCACATCCATCTAGCATAACAAATTGAAACAATACATAATTCAGATTTACAGCATCAGGAAAATTGCTTAATCCACTAAGTTGCCTTGATAGCCAATCAAAAAGATCCTTGCGCCCTTCCGTGCCAAGCTTCGCATCCATCAAAGCAGTAGTGATGTAACACACCTAATAAAGAAACAGAATTGGAAAATTTATCAAAGAAGCATGATAGTGGCAGCAACCCTACCTACCAGATATGATATGAATGAATACATCTGACGAGTTTTCCTTAAAAATAATAATAGAAAACAAAATTCAAGGGATCATAATCAGGGAAAACTCCAAAAAAAAAAAAATCACATTCATTTGTACAATGGTCGGAAGTCACTCACTTTCCTATAACAAATTAGAAACTAATGGAAAAAAAAAAGATATATGGTAGCAGAAATCCTTCAATAGAGAACAAAAATTTCAAGAAACAAACAAACAAACAAGAAATGTAGACAGATTTATCAAAATGGTAAACTGATTTATACCAAGAAGAATCCTAGAATTCAGCCAAACTGATTTATTAAAATGGTAACATCATAAATTATTAAACCTGGTTCAGTGTAACCAGGGCTTACCATAATTTATGGTAACATCATAAATTATTAAACCTAGGTTTACCATTGCCAACGCCATTAGCATGCTTCCTTTCCTCGCCTGAATAACCTTACAAACATTGTACAGGCTGCACAAACGCAGAACACCATATAAAGTAAAATCAAGCTGATGATCACCCAGAAGTAGTTAAGAAGTCATGAGTGTGAGCTTTGGCATGAGCAAAAAAATGTCATAAAACTCAAGACCAAAATAATCCTGCTCATATGAAGCCTGTCATGTGTAATAGGATATGCTATTTAGAAAAGAAAAAATAAAAAGAAAAAATATATATATAGCGTGTAAGATATAATCTTTGATGTAATTATGTGCAACCAATTAGCTAACTATTTCAAGAACAACTGAGTAATATGGACATGTATTCAGCCCACATCCAACAAACACAAGAAGAATAGCATCCTTGATGGTAATGACGCCAAGGATGCTACAATGTGATTATAATTCATACCAACAATTTCAAATCAGCAACTCAAACCCTATTCTACAACGTCAATCTATGACTTTGGGAATGTACAGCCCATTCACATGTAACATGGAACAGTACTCTACTAAAGACTACACGGTGGCATCAAGAAAGTCAAAAGTTTTTTTTTTTTCTCAGGGCATCAAAGTAAATCGCTACAGATACAAACAAATAAAGTAAGTAATTTTTTTGGCATTAAGAATATGAAGAACTACTCACTTGAATAAGCTCGTTGGTATAATAGCAAAAACTATTATTGCAAACAACGTAACCTTGTTTGTTGGGATTTCTGCAGTCAAAAAATAGATGGATAAATGACAACATGAAAAAAATAAAATTAAATTAAAGCAACACTGTCGCATTATAACATTTTTAGTATGTTTCAGAAGAACGTAGGACATACCAGTATTACCAGAAAATGTTAATACCCGATACATTTTGGAACACACATTCCGAAACATGGTACCACTTTCATTCCAAATAAGTAAATTAATCGATCCAAAAATATTTTCCTAGTTATTTCCTTGAGCAAAATGAAATCAAATACGGTGAAAGAAAATCTAGAGAGGGGAGTTTTGGAAAGACAAAATGCAAGAGGCCATAATGCTCCTAGCTGGAAGCTTGTTTTTACATGATTAGTTTGCAAAATAATATAATATGTTCCATTAGATATCCACTTGTTAACAAAAAATTACTCCCATGTCTATAAGTGCCTCAACAAATTTTAATATCGTGATTTATAGGAGGAGCCTATCTTTAACGTATCACATTTTAGAGCATGTAACAAACTATGTCCCGGTTTCCGTTTCTTGTCCTGGAATGATTCACATTCCAAGTAACTTTGGGCAAAACATATTTTAAGAGTAGAGTACACACATACAAAGTCAAAGATGATACTTCCTTCTATATAATGCCCACCTAAAAATATATCACACAGAACTGCTAAGGTAAATTTTAGTTGTCTAGGTAAGAGCAATAAACACAGGATCAACAACATAGGCACAAAAGAATTTGCTACAAGTTATTTGTGTCATACAAATCTGTTTCTACATATACATAGGTCATACCATTTATCAACGGAACCCAGCTCAAAAATGGCAGAGACTTTCCAAAAGGTTGAGCCCACCAATCAGCACCTGAAAAAGAATGGAAGAATATTATTACAGTATAATACCGCCTAAAAAAAAAAATCAGTGAATATGAGTTACCAGCAGGTTGCCAGAGCTCACCAAAAGGTTGCCGCCAGATAACTGGTGATAGCCACGATGGCCGGTGGTGAGGTGGTGGGGTAGTGAGGAGAGTGAACACTTTAAAGACAAGTGACCTTTTTTCATTTCCAAAAATTTTGGAATCAATTCCATTGTTTTTAAACAAACAAAATCAATATACCAAACAGTTTCCTTTTTCCAGTTTCCAAAAAATGAAAACATTACCATACGAGGCTTAGGATTTATTATTGGTTAACATATCAATATCTATAATGAATGCCTGAAGTATGTAATAAGGGCCTTAAATATGGTAAAGGGCCTTAAATATGGTAAAGGCCATACCAAGTATAGCGGTAAAGAAATGGCACAATATATCATGCATCAGACCCTCCGTAGGCCCATTGATAACGGGCATAATAAGGGTATTGGTGAAAAAACTACACAATGAAAGAGATATTGATAAAGTTGCTAACCAAACTCCAAATTATTAGTATAATCCGAAAAACCAATTGCAAAACAGAAATATAACTTCACATTGAAAACATGTAGAGATTATGATTTAAATAAATTAATAAATCTTATAAAAAAAACTGCATCAAAAAGCATCAGTGCCACAAAGCAAATTTTTAACCATTGAATATTAAAACATTTTAAATGGCTCCCATTCAAGGAATTCAAATCTAAATGTTGTGCCAAATCAAGTATAGCCCCCTTCATGGCCTTAATCATGTTGCAAAGCAAGTTAATTATATAAAGTCCATCTCTCTATGAAATTCCTTTAGAAATGGAAATGGCATAGCAAACAACTTTATTGGCCACAATGAAAGTGGAAATATTATGATAACTGAAGCATCCACCATCCAAAAACAAAAGAAAAGACAAAAAAAGAAGAGGTGTGCAGAATGAACAATCAAGTGTTCGTAACAAGGCAGAATGTAATAAACCAGTATTAGTTGGACTGCTTACTGCTCCCCATGTTGGCAAATAAAACAGAACAACTGTTATCACCGGAACCAGAAAGTAGTCCTCCAAACATAATAATACTCCCAAAGGCCAAGGACGCAAACTGATAAACATCATCAACAAAATATGAAAAAGATACACTTGCTATGGCTAACCAAGACAATAACAGAAGTACATACCGCACAGGCAAGTGCATCACATCCTTGCAGTAGTGTTTTATAACAAGAAAAAATTCAATCAATATTCTACATTAATATATAAAAGAAAAAGCTCCCCCAGTGGACTAGAGGAACTCGTCCGTCTTGCTTGCTTCCCATCAACAGCATCAAAAGTCCGGCAGTGGTTTGAAGGTCAAAACAGAAATTTCTGAAAGGGAGTAAACTCCCATCCAAAGACCAACTAATGGAAAGAAAATCCAACCAACAGTCACAGAAAAAGAAGTAAATTTAAAATTTAAAATTTAAAATCTAATCATATCAAATTTAAAATTTTAAAATCTATTTAGAAATCAGAATCTGAAATAGCGCGAAGCAGGTCAGGGCTAATAAAATAGATGAAGAAGAGCAAGGGCCCGATTGGCATTTAGCAGAAACTTTAAATATTCCCATAGTCCGTGACCAACGCACAATATTTTACCTTAAGGGTAGAAGCACGAGGGTGCCAAAAATATCCCATAGTCCCATGGAAATTACCTATCCCCTCAAAGGAAAATGGATTACCTTAAATTGAACAACCCAACTCAACAAACCCATAAATTTTCCAAGTACATTCACCAAACACTAAGCAAACTATTCAAGCTTCATGTGCGTGAATGTGGATTCGGTCTATATCCAATTTAAACCCTCCTAAGCTCCCAGCACCCTCGATTATTGAGAAAACCAACACTCGGGACACAAGTAGAATTCAAAATTATTTTGCAAAATATTTAAAGAATAAGTGCCTGTCATTTCAGGTTAGAACTTTTCTCCCTAATTTTTCCCCTTAGGTTTGCTATCTATACGAAACAGATTAAGAACAAACACAATAACTTCTATGCACATGAAATGAAGAATATACCTTATAAAAAGCTGTCAAAATTTTACCATATGTACCAAAGCGAGGCGCAGCACCTAAAATCCTTCCCAACATTAACCACCTGCACAAAAACCACTGTAAACCTAACAATGGTTCATTGAAGAGAATATTCTTTAACTAGGAGTAATAAACCAGAATCATAAATAACTTAAGCTCACATGTAGCTGTTAACCTTATCTACATGACTCATTGTCACTAATGGAAGCTCAAGCAAGAACAATAAGTTAATCGAATTACCGTGCATGTCCTGATAAAGTTTTAACTCTATCAAAAACCTGAGCTGTAGTCAGCTGTTTATTAGAAACTGACCTACCTGTTTTTTTCTCCACCACAACAAATAAGCATCAATATTAGAAAACAGATTTTATGCATATGCTAACAAACAGTTCCAAATATCAAAACCCAACATGCATAATAGCACACAACAAGAGCATACAAATGCAAGACAGAGGTGGTTTCAAAACTTCGAACTTGTATAAGGACCTTTGATAGTATTCAAAGAGGGTAAGTGAGGGCAGTGCCCAATGTGACTGAACCTGCAAGCAGCAACTGTATGTGTAGAAAACATCTGGTTCTTCATCAGTTTCTTCCATCTGAAAGATTTGCACAATGTCAAACAACTAGGCAGTCCCACAACTTGAAACTGAAGTTCTGAAGAGTCTTTATATCAAGATTCAAACAGTTTTTTTGGAGATTCCAATTTCTTTATCTATTTCATATGGTTTCAGAAAGTACCCTCAAACCTCAAATGCATACATTGAGGCACTCACAATATGTAAAGACAGAAAAAAAAATATATTAATCATAATTCTCAATGTGTGTGCATCCACATCCTTCCAACTACATATGCTTAAAATTTAGCATCTATATGATTGCAATTACATGGCAAATATGAAGAGATACCGGGTCTGACCAGATTTTATAAAGACGGAATATAGTGAAATTACAGTTGTGACAAGTGAACCACAACGAAATAGATTTTGGAGCTTAAATTCTATAGTTGGATTTGGTGTAGTTTTCAACAGTTGGTAAATCGCTAAAAACAAAGAGAATCAAAACTACCAATATGTCAAAATGATCTGGCAACATCATGAAAAGCCGCGAAACAGATTATACCCTGTGATATATCTCTAGTTTCAATATAGTCATGTAGCTTCAATTTTACAATTTCATCCATTAATTTATTACATTGGGTAATTTAGTCCAATTTATAACACTAATATTAGAAATTGGATAGATATCAAACAAAAAAATGGCATATTCAAAAGGATGGATCATTTCAAATTGGACATAATAAATCCAGTTCACTTTGAAAGGGTGAATGAAACTATTTTACTTCTTTGTTTCAGTCTAAAATTCAAGGAA